CGGATCTTGATCTTGCAACATTCTGGAATCAGAAGGTAAAATTGTAAAATAATCGGATTGCCGAATTAAATAAATTAGACAAAAGAAAGTAACACATTTCATTCCTGAACCGACAGTTATCCTCAGATTTTCGAGCGACTGGACTAGTTATGTACACTGGAATCTGCCCGGAACAGTTTTCCTCGGGATGCAATCCCTATTGAGACAGGTGAAAGTTGCAGGTAGGTCAAGGTTATAATCTCATATGAGGTCATGAAAATCTTGGTTAAGGTAATCGGTCATACACAGATGTGGCATTAGGATTCTCGACAGGGAATCACGTGATCAATCGAATCAATGGCTATAAACTGAATGCTGTGGCTGGGTGTCGTAAACAGCAGGGCTCGTACAATTATCCATTATCTTGCTAAGCCCAATTTCCTTTCTTTCTGCGAGTTAATCTTACCAGTTTTCTCGAATTACAGATCTTCCAGTGAAGGAGTACTTTAATGGTAGCCCAAGTGGGCAGACGAAAACCAGTGCATGACCATGTAGAGCCAACGGTTGCTTAGGCTAAAACCAAACTGACCAGGTTAATTATTCGTTCCTCCATTTCTTCCTGACAGGTTCACTCTCTATCCACAAGTTCATATTGCCTTTAGACACACTGAGTTTGATACGTATCAAGGGAGCTCGCGTCATTGTATTTCGGTATACTGAGTTCATGATGGTGCTGGTGACATGCCGAGTGACGTTTCACACTTTTAACCATAAGCAAACACATGTACACATCGACGCAGTAATCCGGCATAGCTTTGAACGAAAGTCTACGAAAATGCGCTACCCATCATGAACTTCATGGAATATGGTGATACTTGAACCATATAAACGAGAATATAAGGTGCTGCAATGAAACAGACACTCATTGCATCATATCTTGACGCTGAACCAAGGGTACTGGTTATCGCTCCCTTGGATCGAATGTTTCATCATCATCACTGTCACCATAATGGTGAACATCACGTCTCATACAGTCTTTGAAGGGTTACAACTTAATGCGGACAACGTGACTGTATAAAAGATTTGAATCAAAGTAAAAAAGAAATTAAAAAGACTGCATTACAATCATTAACGTTGTTATTGATGTCGTCGTTAATATACCAGTGTACAATGACACACGGGAGAGTAGAACCGCATAAAGAACTAGTGGAACAGATAAAGTCAGGAGTCGAGCAGTAACGAAGTTGTGTCATAGAAGAGGAATACAAGCATTCGAGAATCTGACCTCACGGAACAGCGCACGCTGGCGATAGGGACTGTGCCACCACTTGATGAAGAAAATCAAAATTTTGTTCAGTACCGGTCTATTGAGAAATATGAGGCATGATCAATCTTCAGGTCATGAGCTAAGTAAAATGGGTCGAGTGGTTTCAGTTCCGAACAACAGGCAACTGCATGATGAAAAAACTGCTGACTATCACACTTCCAACGATTAGCCAAATGTGAATATCCCCGATGTGATTACAATAAGTGCACTGTCACCAAGTGCGTCGGATACATCTGTGAAGAAATGACCACGTACCGTCGTCAGTGAATACAACCGGAACCACGCATTGGACCATTAAGAAACCAATGAGCAAGTTATGACGGAACTCACTCTTAAAAAAGATGCTTCTTGAAGACAAATTATAAAGACTGAAGTCAATAAAACACCTAATTAACCCTTGAATTCCTTGTGAACACCAAAGTTTTCAATGTTGTTATAGGGATGGACAGAAAGAAACTCCTTGAGGCACTTCGTTACCGACTGGAATTAAAAACAGCTTAAATAGTGGCACAATAAACATCGAAAAACGGAAAATCAACAAAAACAATAAGCTAAAAGCGGAGTTTTGAATATCTCAACTCACATTATCTTCCTTAAAAATGGACGATGACATGTACATTTTGCGCTTCTGAAACACCTAGATTGAGAATTCATCATCGAGCAGTCGTAGTAATGATAGCGACGCACCAAAAGGTCGACTCTAACGGTTTTTCACGATAGAAGGATGTACATAAAACTTAGCAGATGGCGAATGTATACAGTCCATGATAGACAAACCGCTTCAAAGCGGTAGTATGGGACGAGGAAAACATTTCAGTATTATACATCAGGATGGACCAGATCAGAACAGATGAGTAGAATAGCAAGTGCCAATTTACAAACAGAATCAGAGATAAGTACAG